GATAGAAATACATTTGCCCAAGAAATAACCATTTAAGCCAGGCACTGGTGTGCCATGCCTGTCTGTAATCCTAGATACTCCAGAGGCTGACATCTGAGGATTGTGGTTCGAAGCCAGTCAGGGCAAGAGAGGCCATGTGACTCATATTGTCAATAAACTACTCAGAAAAAGCTGAAAGTGGGGCTGTGGCTCAAGTGGTAGAGCACTGGTCTTGAGCACAAAGAGGCTCAGGGACACTGCCTAGGCTCCAAGCCCAAGCTGGCTGTTTTCCCAGCATCCATTGCTCTTTCACCTATTTTGTTTGTTTGTTTGTTTTCTTTTGCCAGTCACTCTGTTAACTCCCATGAGGTCAAGGAGCACATGCACATAGGACAGGAAGCTGGAGGACAGTAACTTAATTGGATGCCCAATGAGGACTAAAGGAGTCCACAGAAGGCTGCTTAAGGTGCCTACTCCAACAAGATGAAAATTTAGGCAGAGTATAAGTCTTTTATTCAGACCACCTCCTCCAAAAAACTATTGCATAAGCAGGCTAGGGCTTGGCTGACTACAGGAGGGAAAAGTAAGGGTGGGATGGGGTTCTGAATGAATCACACCGTCACTGAGGAGTAGGATATTGATTCTGTTGAGGGGATTATATATTCAGAGAGAAAGAAAGGACAGAGGAAAGAAGGAAGGAAGCATGGAAGGAAGAAAAGAAAGAAGGAAGGAAGAGAAAGAAGCAGGCAGCTAACTTCCTTCAGTGTTTCCACATAATTGGATCTTGGGGATGTTATCCCAGAAGGATACAAAGTTTCCAAACTGAGGACAACTCACTTTTCAAACTTCAAATGACTTCAGGGACTGAAATGGTCCCAAAGAACAAACTGAAATCTAAATTGACTTCTAAAGGCAATGGCCAGTCCTTTGGAGACTGTGCCCTGGGCACAGGAGGCAGGTGGAAGGAAAGGGACCAGCCCAACCCTTCACCCTCTGAGTTCTCAGATCCACTGTGGCTCTTTCTGACGCTTAGATCCACGGTAGCTGACATGTAGCCTCTTTTTGATTCTTGGGAAATCATTTGTTGCTGTTCATGACGTTTCTTATAAAGGTAAGTGCGAATTTTGATAAAAGCAAATCCAAAGTTTTCCTTACCAGAGGTATACTTTTATCCTTAGCCTTAATTGGAATATTATGGGCTTGAGGCAGGGGAGATGAAGCACCTTCATTGATATGATATTATTCTAGAATTAAAAAATGACCAAGTTTTAGGAGTCTCTGAAATTATCTGGGCTCACCCTGTCACCAAACTGAAGGAAAGGGCTTGTCAGGGATCCCACATCTGGTAGTCTTCGCTCTCCCAGTGTTCCTTTTTTTTTTTTTTTTTTCCTATTTGCTGATCATGGAGCTTGAACTTAGGGCCTGGGCGTTATCCCTGAGCCCCTTTGCTCAAGGCTAGCACTCTACCACTTTGAGCCCACAGCGCTACTTCTGGAGACAAGAGACTCATGGACTTCCCTGTGTGGGCTGGCTTTGAAATGTGATTATCAGATCTCAGCCTTCTAAGTTGCTAGGATTACAGTTATGAACTACCAGTGCCCAGCCCAGTGTTCCTTCTTGATTTCAACAGTTGGGCTCATTCTCATTTTACAGAGTTCATTAATACTGAACCATATTTCTGGATCTGGTGAGAGGGATATTGAGGAAACATTCTTTTTCACATGACTCAAGTTCCTGGGAGAATCATGAAGATAGGAAAACAGAAAATAAAAATTCTACTGGACATTGTTCACTTACTAACCTAGACTATGCATCACCAGGATCAGTGTGTCTTGGACACCTGGCCATCTTTAGCCTTGAGGATTATTCTCAATGTCAGCCTTTCCTTTCCTTTTGTCAATATATTGCATCTAAGTTCTGGTACTAGGGTTTGAATTCAAAGAGTAGTTATTTCCAAATGAATTGACTTTTCAGGAGATAGAGATCCCTTTCATCACTCAATCAAACCTAGGTTCCAGCCTAGGAATACAAGTAGGAGTTAGGTAAAGGAGTAGATTGCTAAATAAATCCAAGGCCTGATATTGGGAGCATCAGGTGACTATCATAGTTGATAGTGATGGTGATAATAATTAATGTGATGATGTAGTTATTTGTGTGACTATTTCCCCAGTAGATTTTAGTTTTCATTTGAGACAGGATCTTCCTATTGTGCCTGAGTGTTAAGATGATGGGTGTGTGCCACAGTCCTGGCTCTCCCCACTGGATTTTGCACACTGAAGTCATGGGCTGTGACTTTTTCTGCTGGGTCCCCAGGATCTAAAATCACGTCTGGTCCACAGTGGAGTCCCAGCAAATGTCTGTGAACCTGGATTTTTCTGTGTCACAGGCTTAGTTGCAGCTAGCATGTGCTAATTACCAACCAATGAGTGCCTCAGAGCTTCCTAGGCATGAAACACCCCTGCTATAACTGAGAACATGCTAGATCACTGGAAGCATTTAAACAGATGGTAATCTGGGAAAATCCTTGAGCATTTTAGTGCAATGAAAATAAAACCGAATGCTGCCCAACATTGGCAAGTTGCAAACAAGTCTTTCACAAGTCCAGAACAACTCCTCATTTGGGGAGCACTTCAAATTCTGAGGGAATAGCTGTGTTGCCCACGAAGCAGATCAAGCAAAGCAGAAGCAGGGCTTTCTGAACTGGCCAAGGATTATAGCTGAGCTGCTGGCACAAGCAGACTTGAGAATGGAGACAAAGAGGAAGATTCCATCAGAACACTCATGTAACTTGGTCATGGGGCACAGAATGGACAGGATGTTAAGGGCCTGACACTGTGGAGTCCAAGTGGGCTGGGCTCATTCTCAAAGCAAGTGTCACAAGAATTGTCCTTATGGCTCTCATGGATCCCAAGGACAGGACTTCTTTTTTGTGGGCTGGTTTTGCTTTTATGTACTCAGACATGTAGCCCAGTCTGGTCTCAAACTTCAGATCTTCCTGCCTCAGTCTACTGAGTGCTGGGATTACAGCTGTGAGCTCCTGACTCTGGGCAGAAAGGGCTACTTTATTTATTTCGGTTAGTTTTCATTTATACTGTCATGTCTCCTTATATTTATATTTTATTACATTATTTTTATGTGGTATTTGTGTTTGAACTAGGCAGGCAATTGAGCCACATTTCAGCCCTTTTTTGTTGTTCTTAATATATATCTTTTATTGTAAAGATACTGTACAGATGGGTTACAGTTACATGAGCAAGGTAATGAGTCCATTTCCTATCGAGCATTGTTACACCCTCCTTTATTTTTTCTCTACCATTCCTTTCCTCCCCACCTCCCCAACTCCACCCTCTCTCCCTGCTTGACCATCCCTAGCTTTTTTTCATTGAGATAAAATCTTATGACATTTCTGTCTAGACTACCCTAGAACTGTAAATTTCTCCATTTCAGTTATGATGTTGTCGAGAAGGGTTCTTGCATATATACCTGGGCTGGCCTTGAACTGGGATTCTCCCAATCTTAGCTTTCCCAGTAGCTTGGATTACAGGTATGAGCCTTGAAGTCACCAAATTCTTATTCTTTTGAAATGAGTGCGCATAGTTGGATTTGCAAAATTATTTGTAGAAATAAAATTAAAGACTAGAGTCATGCTACCTTTCTTCAGAGTAGATTTTTGTTTGCTGCTGTTAGGTTCTGAGAGTCTATGACCATCTCAATCGAATTTCAGGGCTGGAGAAGAAGTGAGGCTGAGCAAATGACTTGTTTCCCCCTGATCTGCCCTTCTTCCTATGGAGCTGCTCTTGAGGTATCCCATTCCAATGGGAAGAAATTAAGGTAGGAGCCCTGTACACTAGGCCTTCCATTGTTCCCCAAGTCCATGAGGCTGTCAATCAACATCCTCTCAAGGGCTTCCTCCAGAAGCTGCAAATGTCCCAGGTGCAAACCAGGCTTTGGCGCTTTTTTAGTCCCTTGTTTTTCACAAGAGTCACAACCCTGTGATTTCCCCCTTTTTTGTAATCTCTCCAGTACTTTACATGTTTGTTTTTGTTGTTGTTGTTTTTTGCTGTTGTTGTTTTGGGCTTTTGGGCTTGAACTCAGGGCTTGGGTGTTGTTCCTAAGCTCTTTTACTCAAGGCTAGCATTCTACCACTTTGAGCCACAGCACCACTTCTGGTTTTTTGAGTGGTTAATCAGAGATAAGAGTCTCATGGAAATTTTTCTGCCCAGGCTGGTTTCAAATTATAATCCTCAGATCTCAGCCTCTTGAGTAGCTAGGATTACAGGCATGAGCCACCAGTGTCTGACAGATTTTTTTGGGGGGGAGGTCCAGTCGTGGGGCCTGAACTCTAGGCCTGGGTGCTGTCCCTCAGCTCTTTAGCTCAAGGCTAGCGCTCTACCACTTGAGCCACAGTGCCACTTCCAGCTTTTTTCTTTTTGCTTGTATGGTGCTGAGGAATTGAACCCAGGGCCTCATGCATGCAAGGCAAGCGCTCTACCACTGAGCCACCTTCCCAGCCCCTGACAGATTTTTTAAATGGCCTAGTTTTTCTAATTATCTCCAGGAAGCTTAGCCCAAATTAGTTATTACTAGAAGTTTAATATTTATCCCTACTTATTGTTCCTAGAACCCAAAGACATAAACAAATGGGCAGAATTCTTCTCCAGTGATTCAGCAGTCAAGGACTTTTTGGCTGGCCTCACTCTATTGATAAGAGAATGTTGATTCAGACTTTTTTGAGTTCCTGAATTTTTATTTTATTTATTTATTTGTCATGGGGCTTGAACTCTGGGCCTACCTGGGCATTTTCCCTCAGCTCTTCAGCTCAAGGTGAGCATTCTACCACTTGAGCAACAGTTCCACTTCCAGTTTTCTGAGTGATTAATTTGAGTTAAGAGTCTCGTGGACTTTCCTTCCCAGGCTGGCTCTGAACCATGATCCTCAAATCTCAGCTTCCTGAGTAGCTAGGATTACAGGCATGAGCCACAAGCGCCCAGTGCTCCTTCAAATTTTTGATCCGTTACATCATGGAGAGACCCAATAAGACCTCTCCTGTGGCAGGGTTCATTCTCCTGGGCCTCTCAGCCCACCCAAAGTTGGAGAAAATGTTCTTTGTGCTCATCCTGGCCATGTACCTGGTGATCCTGCTGGGCAACGGGGTGCTCATCCTGGTCACCATCTTTGATTCCCACCTGCACACTCCCATGTACTTCTTCCTGGGGAACCTTTCCTTCCTGGACATTTGCTACACCACTTCCTCGGTCCCCCTCATTCTTGACAGCTTCCTGACCCCCAGGAAAACTATCTCCTTCTCAGCCTGTGCCATCCAAATGTTTCTCTCCTTTGCCATGGGAGCCACAGAGTGCGTGCTTCTGAGCATGATGGCGTTTGATCGCTATGTGGCCATCTGCAACCCCCTGCGGTATCCTGTGGTCATGAGCAAGGCTGCCTATGTGCTCATGGCCATCAGCTCTTGGGGAGCTGGCATCACCAATTCTGTAGTACAGACATCCCTTGCAATGAGGCTGCATTTCTGTGGGGACAATGTCATCAACCACTTCACCTGTGAGATCCTGGCCGTGCTGAAGCTGGCCTGTGCTGACATCTCCATCAATGTCATCAGCATGGTCTTGGCCAATGTGATCTTCCTGGGGGTCCCAGTTCTGTTCATCTCTTTCTCCTACATCTTCATCCTCACCACCATTCTGAGGATCCCCTCGGCTGAGGGGAGGAAGAAGGCCTTCTCCACCTGCTCTGCCCACCTCACTGTGGTGACCATCTTCTATGGGACCATCCTGTTCATGTATGGAAAGCCTAAGTCCAAAGACCCATTGGGGGCAGACAAGCAGGACCTTGAAGACAAGCTCATCTCCCTCTTTTATGGGGTGCTGACCCCCATGTTGAACCCCATCATTTATAGTTTGAGGAACAAGGATGTGAAGACTGCTGTGAAGAATCTAGTAGCTCAAAAAACACTCAATTGAATGACTATTATTGAATTCAAGACTTCCAGAATGCATGGGAAAATAGTGACCCGAAATAGAGGATGGACTTTCTCAAGGTCCATGTCATAGATATTTGGACTAGTAATGAAAGTGAAACTATTTTTCTCCAGTTGTTTCATAAGCAATGAGAACATTTATCTGAGAAACTATAGAGAAAGAGCATTTAGCTCTTTAGAGATGTTGGCTTTATGCCAACCTTGGTAACACCATCCCACAAATTTTACACTAGCAAATCTTAGGTCCTCTGCCACCCCTAGCTAATAAATGTCTGTGGAGTTGTTGATGTGTACAAAATTAAGAGACAAGTACAGCTGGGCACTGGTAGTTTACTCTTGTAGTCTTAGCTACTCAGGAGACTGAGATATGAAGATCGTGGTTTGAAGCCAACCCTGGGCAGGAAGGTGCATGAGACTCTAATCTCCAATTAATTTCCAAAACAGTTAGAAGTGGAGTTGTGTATCAAGTAGTAGAGCACAAGCCTTTAGCAGAAAAGCTCAGAGACAGTGCCCAGGCCCTGAATTTAAGCCCCAGGACTGGCATGGAGAGAGAGAGAAAGAGAAAGAGATAAAGAGAGACAGAGATAAAAACAGAGAGAGGAGAGACAAGTATAGAAATTGGATTTAATGGCCTTGGGTTCTTGGTGTGCAAGTATCAATTATACTCTATGCTTTATACTATATGCGATGTCTTAAAGGCCTACTTTTTTATTATGAATGTATTTTTTATTGTGAAAATACTGTACAGAGGGGTTACAATTACATGGGCAAGACAATGAGTACATTTCTTATCAAGCATTGTAGCCTCCTCCTTTGTTTCCCCTTCCCATCCCTTCACATCCTCCCCTCCACCCCCCCACCAAAGTTGTAAAATTCATTTTTTGACATAACGACTTGTACATCTCATTGTTGCAATGGGTCCTCCTGTATCCCTGTTTTAACAATTTGTTTTTTCCCTTCCCCTCCACATATACCAACATGATATATAGTGAGAGCAGGGGTCATACCATGGAGGAGGGACATACAAAGCAACAAAGACATAATCTTATAAATATGTTAGAAATAATCACATGAAAGATCTCTCTCTCTCTCTTTCTCTCTTTTGTCAGTCGTGGGGCTTGAACTCTAGGCCTGGGAGCTGTCCCTGAGCAACTCAGCTCAAAGGCCTACGTTTTGTAAGGAAACATGAAGAATATCTACACCATTACAATATGCTGGCCAATAACACCATGAAAGGAATGCTTCTTAACTTTCAGCACCAGGAGTAGAGGGATGTTACTTGGCTGTGCTGTGAGGGAACATGGAGAAATATTGGCCAGCTTCTCTCCCCACCCAAGCTTCAGTCACTCAGTGACACGGACCTACATGGTTAGGAGACAGCAGCAATTCATATTTTCACCCCATGTGACCCACACCACTGAAAACTCCCAAACTTTCAATAGTCTGAGACTATGAAAAAAATCAATAAATACTTTAGGGGAAGCAAATGGCAAAGATCATCCTCAATTCCACATTTATCAGTGGTCATTATTCAGACCTGCTCCCCCTCTGGCTCCTGCATGGTATTAAGGCTATGGGTCTATTGGTTTGGATGCTTGGCATGGTCAGCAGCAGAGAGAACTGACAACACTGGAAATTGGATGCTTCGGTGGTCAGGGGATCTTCAGTAGCAAAAGAAAAAGGGGGGGGGAATAACTCACTAAGCACTGGGGCCTCATGCCTGTAATCCTAGCTACTTAGGAGGCTGAGAGCTGAGGACTGTGGTTTGAAGCCAGCCTGTGCAGGAAAGTTTGTGAGACTCTTATCTTCAGTTAACCAACAAAAATCTAGAAGTGAGGCTGTGGCTCATGTGGTAGAGTGCTAGCATTGAGAACCACGCCCCAACACACACACACACACACACACACACACACACACACACACACACACACACACACACTAACACCTCAGGGACAGTACCCAGGTCTGAGTACAAGCCCCAAGACTGGCACAAAAAATTAAAGTGAAAAAAGGAAAACTCCACTCAAATATATTTAGAAATACTCAAAAACTACTTAGATTTATTCAAAAGCTAGGTGATCAGGCTCAGCTCCTTTGCTCCAAGATTTCCTCTATTCTCCACTCTTCTGTGGGTCAGCTCTGTTCTCAGGCTGACTTCTCATGGTCAGCTGCTACAAGCCATAGGCTGAAGTTTCCCAGTTCACTAATGGGTTAGAAACCTTTGGTTCCAATTACTAGAGAATGAATATCCTGCAATTTGCTCTGGTTGGACTACTACAAACTACAGAGCAAGCATGGTGGCAGTGACAGCAGATGATGAAGACTTATGGAAGCTCCTCAAACAGATTAAAAGGAGAAGCTCTTCTCTGAGACTGTTTCAGCTAAGCTGTTATATAAAGGAAAATCTGAAGTTGGTGAAAATAGGTGAGAGGGGCTGGGAATGTGGCTTAGCGGTAGAGTGCCTACCATGCATGAAGCCCTAGGTTCAATTCCTCAGTACCACATAAACAGAAAAAGTCAGAAGTGGCACTGTGGCTCAAGTGGTAGAGTGGTAGCCTTGAGCAAAAGAAGGGCATGTAGGGTCTACAGAATGGCCATATTGCTTTACTCAGGAAATGTCTATTTAAAAAAATATATATAGTAGCAGAAATTAATTGTATTAAGGGCTTCACTGTGATATATACAACAAGTATATAATATCTTTAATTAAACCATCTCATCTATATTGCTCTTTCTTAACCCTTTTCTTCTCCACTTTTCTTTTTAATAATTTTTGGTGGGTTTCATTATGCTGTTCTCATTCATATACATATATCCATATGTATAGTCTATAATATATTCTATGCTGTTCTCATTCATATACATATATATCCATATGTATAGTCTATAATATTCACCCACTCTTTTCCTCCTCTTGCACCTGCTATTACCCACAACGGCTCCCCTTTTACAATCATGTAATATTTTTTTAGACTAGATTCTGCATGTGAGCAAAAGCGTACAACATTTGTCTTCATGAGCTTGGCTTATCTCACTTAATATAATGATCTCCAGTTCCATCCATTTTCCTACAAATGACAGAATTCCATTATTCTTTTTTGTTGAGTAGTTGTTGAATACTTTACTTTTTGTGTTCTCAATGTTGTTAAAATAGTCATAGATAATTGCAGGATCTCAAACATGGCTTCAAACAGTTTTTCTTTAATTTGGAAATGGCAACCATTTTTTGGAAGTGATTTTCTATTTTCCATTCTATTTTTCTTATTATAAAGGTGATGTACAGAGGGGTTACAATGACATGAGTGAGGTAAATAGTACATTTCTTTTTGGTCAATGTCACCCCTTCCCTTGCTTTTTTCCAGTTTTCCCCTCCTTTCCCCATTCACAAGTTGTACAGTTTATTTTCAACATAGTAATTAGAGAGTACCACTGCTGCCTTTGTTCCTCCATAGAAATGGCAAGGGTTTAATGAACGTTACACTCACTACCATTCACCCTGTCTGAAACAAAGAGTAATCAACTTTTTAAATGTTCTTATACCTAAAAGCAAAACACATAATCCAGTGCCCAAAATCAGTGATTTACAGAAATCACTTTGGTGTATGTTTATTTTTTCCAACGAAGAAGAGAAAAACATGATTCAGTAATTCAGTGTGAGGTCATGAGTAAATATTGTGTGTCTAGAATCAGTGGTCCTGGCCATGAGCTATGACGCCCAGTGGGCATCCACAGTTCCACGAGATGGAGAGCCCACATGTGGGAACCATAAGTCAAAACTAGTACCCCACAGAAAGTGCACAAAAAGCAAGTCTAGGGATGCTAACACTCCTGGTTTGTTCTTGGCTTTGTTCATCTTAGTTACTAAGTTTTGGTTTCTGTAGTAAGCATTTCACTGTAAGAAAGGCACCCTGTGAGATTATGGCTGCTACAGGAACCTGGCTAACACACACACTTCCCTTCCTGGTCAAGTAGCTTTCCCCCCCCAAAACCCCATTTTCATGATTTCTGTTATGGTTTGGAAAAATAAGGAAAATTATTTAAAATATCCAATTTTTATTAAAAAATTGATATCAAAAGTAATAAAGGACCTAATTTCTTAATAATTCCATGTTTTAAAAAGTAACTTAGCTGGGTACCGGTGGTTCACATGTGCAATCCTAGCTACTCAGGAGACTAAGATCTGAGGATCATGGTTTGAAGGCAGTCTGGGCAAAAAAGTTCCTGTGAGACTCTTATCTCCAATAAACCACTCAAAAATCAGAAGTGGCACTGTGGCCCAAAGTGGTAGAGCACTATCCTTGAGCAAAATTGCTCAGCACCCAGGCTAAGTTCAAGCCCCAGGATTGACGAAAACAAAACAAAAGCAAAAAAAAGTTTACTAAGTGTAAGGCCCAGGCCATCATGTACAAATCCAATGGCATGAATAGAGTTTCTTGACACAGTGTGTGGCAGAATCTATGTTTACCATCTTGATTATGGACCTTAATGTCAGGAACACCTCTAATACAATTAATCCAGCTTCTAGCTATTTTGCTGAGGGCAAACCAGATACTGTCATAGCTTCAAAGTTAACTAGCTTCCCCCTTGGGGATCTTGCCCGCCACTTCCTTTTCATTGGCCATCAGTGCTCCCACAATGTCTGAGTAGGTGATGACATTCGATCCTGGAGAGAGGGACATTGAATTATAAATGTAGTAAACTAAAGATTATTCTGATGAGAAAATTGATACTTTTCCTTTGGCTGTCAGATCTTTCTCAAGTGTGTCTTATCTATATAACTATGTCCTTTCTTCTGTGGTTTGAATTTCCACAGAGAACAGGATATTGCCAGCTCTGAAATACAAGTGGAGTATCAAAGGGATGTACTAGCAAGTCCAAACACAGAGAGAGGGAAGAAGAGAGGCTCAAACTGGCCTTTGAAGCATAATTTTATTCTTCTTTATGGACAGATAATACTCTGGCTATTGTGAATAGTGCTTCTGCCAATATGGGTGTATAGCTACCT